GACTCGATCCCAGGACCCTGGGATCATGACCTGAGCCGAAGGCAGACGCTTAACCATCTGAGCCACCCAGGCGCCCTCATTTGCAAATTTATAGGACATGAATGATTTTTAGAAATGAAAGATTAGAAGCTATTCCCCTGATTTTTAAGATTTTTTTTTTCTTTCAGTTTAGCCTCTAATATGGTGTCAAGAGTGGAAAATATTCAAAAGAAAAAGGATCAGGCCCATAGTCTAAAAGGAGTGCTCCAAGACTCCATCGTGATGCTTGAACAGGTAGGCAACTCTGTACCATAGGACTCAGTACTTTCATAGCAGTATGAACCAGTTGCTCTTCTGGTTGTGTGAGAATATTCACGATACCATTATTTGAAGAAACTCCCCTCCTAGAGGCGACTACCCTTGCCAGTTTTTGTATTATGCTTTTTATGTGTACAGTCACTTGTATTTTTTTTCAGAATGAAAGCATACACTGTTCCATACCCTCATTTTATAAGTAGTAATATATTTTGAAGATGTTTCATTATCAGCATGTACATTTGACTCTTGAATAATGGTGGGGTTAGGGCTGCTGACCCCTGCACAGTCGAAAATTGTATATAACTTTTGACTCCCCAGGAACTTAACTACAAATAGCCGACTGTTGAGCAGAAGCCTTACTGATAACACAGTCAAGTAACACATATTTTGTATGTTATATGTATTATATACTATATTTTTACAGTAAAGTTAAGCTAGAGAAGAGGAAGTGTTAAGAAAATCATAAGAGAAAACACATGTACAGTGCTGTCCTGTAAAAAATCTGTGTACAAGGGGTCCCATGCCATTCAAACCCATGTTGTTCAAAGGTCAACTGTATACATCTACCTCATTCTTTTTATTGATACTCCTATATAAAAATTTATGCTTAATATTAACTCTTTTTATAGAAATGGTAGATACTGTATACACTGTTGGTTATTTTATCTATTAACCAATATCTTGGAGATGCTTCCATATTAGTATATAAAGGACTTCCTTTTCTTTTAACGACTGCATAGAATTCAGCTGTATAAATGTGGTATAATTATTTTACCAGTTCTCCATTGAAGAATGAACATTTAGGTTATTTTGATGTTTTGCTATAGACATTTATCTCTTGAACACAGTATCATCAACATGTGCTGCTCAGTTCCATGAACCAAAACTTAGAATTCCCTTTGAAAAATAAAGATTACTATTTCCATTATGATACAGTATATGCATACTTTTCGAGATTGAAAACTAGAGAGTGGTAGAAGAGAAGAAAACCTATAGTTCTAGCATTCAGGCAGTCACTGTTAATATTTTGTTTCCTCCCATCCTTTTCTGCTATGCATTGGTTTGTTTTTTAGAAGATCCATTTATTGAGCATTTCTCAGGATATCATGTGGGGCATTAAACTACCTACCTTCAACTAGGCATTTTTCAGTTGCACAGTATCTACAGCTACTGGTGACATTCTCCACCCCCCCCAACCCCCCTCAGCAAGAGTGGGTCATATTTGCACTTTTCCTCCTCAGCCTCCTATTTCTCTCAAGGAGAAAAGAGAGTTTTCCTCTCCTTCTATAACCAAATCTACAGATCTCCAATCGCTGCACCCCGTCCTCTTGTCCATGCCTGTCAGAGCATTGCTCTGCCTGTCAGGAGAGTCCCAGCAGGTGTTAGTGGGAGATTCCATCCGTCACCCTCCAGCATCTGCTTTCAGTCTCCCTCAGTCAGCTGGATCTTTCCCATCTGCACATAGCCCTGCTCTAGTCTCTCCTACATTAAAGCACCCACACCATCCACATCCTTCTCTGTCTGCCCATCTCTCTTGCTTCCTTTCACGGTCTGGCTCTTTCAGAGTTGTCTGCTGTGGCTGTCACTACTTTGTCCTTCATAAGCCATTCACTTTTTAAAGGTTTTATTTTCACCAAAGTGACTCCTTCACATGGTTAACTTTTCTACAAGGTTTGTTCAGAAAAACAGCAGTCCCACTATATACTTTGCCAAACACAACAATCTTTAACTCTTTTAGTTTCTTTTTGTGTTTACCTCATATTTATAAACAACAAGCATGTATTGATACTTCTTGATTTTTCAGTTTTAGACAGATCTTTCGACCTCCTGTTATGGAAGACAAAGGTTTTCTTTTCTTTCTTGTCCTCTTTTCTGATTCCCCCATCCTCCCAAGGAAGTTACAATTTTGGTTAGTTCAGTATCCAGTGTTTGCTTTGTTTTGACTAAGTTTGCTATTCTGAGCTGAGCCATGGAATAAACCATGATTACTTTTTCTTTTCTGTGCTTTTTCTTATCCCTGAAATTGTCTTATGACAGTTAATTAGTTTATTGTATTATTTATAAGTATCTCATCTCCTAAAGCTCTGTTGTAGGCGTCTCCTCTCCTAACCTTTGTTCACCTCAGGTCTTCTATGAGTGGAGCCTTCTGACTGGCTCCAGTCAGGCCCAGGGGCCCTCTCTGCAGGTGCACAGCTCTGGTCCCAGGGATTCCTGTTGAATACCTCCTCTGTTTCCTATATTCAGAATGGTTTACTCCTTTCTTTGAATGAAACATATCCTTTAGTAGCTTCCTAAGAAAGAGAACGTGGATGTAATATTTTAAGACTTCACTAGTGTGAAAAGTTTTTATTCTGTCCTTCCCCTTGATTAATAGTTTGGCTGGGGGTAGAATTCTACCTTGGAAACAATATTCCTTCAGAGCATTTCTCCATTGTTTTTCAGCTTCCAGTGTTGCTATTAAGAATTCTGAGGCTGTTAGCATCCTTCATTCTTCAGTCTGGAAACTCATGCCTTTTAGTTCTGGGAAATACTGAGTTACACAGTTGATGATCTCCTCCCCTCCACTCTCTCTCTTCTGACTTTCTACGGCTCCTGTAATTCAGATGTCCGCCTTCTTTTGGACAGGCTGTCTAATCTTATTTTTTCTTTCCAGCTTCCATGTCTTTGCCTTTTTGTTCTGCTTCCTCAGAGTTCCTCAACTTAATCTTCACATTCTTATGTCTTTCAATTTTTGCTAACAAGTTTTTAATTTCAAAGACCTATTACTTTTTTTTTTTTTAGATTTTATTTATTTGAGAGAGAGAATGAGAGAGAGAGAGAGAGAGCATGAGAGGGGGAAGGTCAGAGGGAGAAGCAGACTCCCTGCCGAGCAGAGAGCCCGATGCGGGACTCAATCCCGGGACTCCAGGATCATGACCTGAGCCGAAGGCAGTCGCTTAACCAGCTGAGCCACCCAGGCGCCCCAAAGACCTATTACTTTTTTGAATTTTTTTTTTTGATGGCACTGTGATCTTTTAAAATGACTATATATCTTCATCTCTCTGATCATATCACTGATGGTTAAAATTTTTCCCCTTCTTGCCTACTCACTTTCCATCCAGATCCTTTCCCTGTTTTGATTTTTATCCTTAGAGTAAGAGGATTTCATTAGATGTCTGTAGTCCTTGGTTGTCAGCTTGTGTGGATCAGAAGCTCTTAAGCTCTTAATGTGGGTTGGGTTGGTGTACCCTGAACTTCTCTGTAGATCTGGCAGGGCTATTGGTTGAGAAATCCTGGTATCACTGTCTTTAGGTCTTTCCTCTTAGATTGGTCAGTTCCCATAGAGGAGCAGCTGAAGGATTAAGGGCTGCCTGCCAGCATTTTAGAAGCAGAGTGAAAGTAGAGGGATGGAGTAGGGCAGGGCATAGGGGGATGGTCTCAACACTTTTTTGTATAATCCTCATTTTTAGTCCCTTTCTCTTTATTCCGACTTCCAGAGATTCCTGTCAATTCCTGAGGCTTTTGAGGATTCTTCAGGGTAAATGTTGTTGGTTCTCAGCTTTCTCCACAGTTAGTTAGGATTCCACTTTTTTTGGTCTGCTAAGTCATCCATCTGCTTTCTAGTTTCCGATGTTGTGTTGCTGCTTTTGCTGTTTCTGTTCTCCCTGTCCTCCTGGATTTATGCCTTAAAAAATCCCTTTATTGTGCTTTTAGTGGGGTTTCAGGAGGGAGCAAAATTAGATGCCTATATTTAAGCATTTAAGCACCTTATTTGCTCTTCACCTCACTCCTGCCTTGTTTTCTTCCCTCATATCTTCCAATGATATTGCTCAAGCTAAGGTCCCCAGTGACCTCTGGCTTTTAAAATTAATATACCTTTTTTTAGTTTACATCTTACAGTGTGAGCATTTGACAAGAGCTGACCACTCCTTTCTTGAAGCGTATCTAATCTTTCCTTCTTTAAAACCATAAAAAACCCAGCCTTATTGTGATATAAATGACATACTATAAAATTCACCTTTGAAAGAATTCCTAGCATATTCACAAAGTTGTACAACCATCACCACTGCCTAAATCTAGAGCATTTTTATCACCCCCAAATGAAACCCTGTTCCCATTAGCAGTCTCTCAGCTCCTACAATCACTAATCTACTTTTTATTTCTATAGGTTTGCCCATTCTGGACATTTCATATAAATGGAATTATATACTATATGGTCTTTGTGACTTGTACCTAGCATAAAGTAAAACTGCTTTTTGCTGGTTAAAACCATCTCCTCTCCCTGGCCTAGTACTCCAGGCTTTCTCCTCTACTTCCCTTTAGGTGGTCTCATCCACTCCCCTTACTTGTACTACACGTCATTGATTCCCAAACCCATCTCTCTTACCGGACCTCTTCCCTGAGCTCCAGGCCCACGCAGTCACCTGCTGACTTGGCATATTCACCTGGATGCTAAGAGGCCACTACTAATTGATCATGTCCAAGACAGAATTCAGTTTTAATCCTGAGCCAGACTGATTCTCCTCTAGCTGACGTATTTCAGAAAATGACACTGTCATCCTCCAGTCAAAAACTTAATGCCTTGTGGAAGTATATATTTATTTATGTGATGACTTGTTTTAGTTCTGTATCCCTCACTAATCTGTAAGCTCCATGAAGGCAGGGATAGTGCCTGTTTGGTTTACCATTGTGTATACCCAGTGCTTGGCTTAGTACAGACCCAGCATGTAATAGATACACAATTAACATTTACTGAATGAATGCATAAAACATAATTCTTGCTCTCAAGTTGCCTATAATTTTATTAGAGAAATCAGATGTCCATGTGTATTGTTAAAAACTATAAAAAAGTATAAAGTGTCAAGTAAGTAGTAATACTTTGGGAGTTTAAAGGCAGGATGATTAGGGAAGGTGACACGGAGAGGGTGGGGATGAGTAAGTTTTAAATGGCTGAAGACAGGCGTGAGCATAATAGCAAGCAGAGGCCTGGAGGGAGAACTTGAGTTGTTTAGGGGATAGTGGAGAGGCCAGTGCAACTTGAGAAACCATTTAAGAAAACCACCTGCTGGGAGGCAGAATGCACAACAGGAGAGTGGGGAGAAATGCAGGACCACAGTGGACAGGAAGAGCTCCTTAGCAGTCATACCGACACGAACCCTGAGCAGCCATGTGTTTTATAAATTCAGTCTTTTATTTGGGCATCAGTATAAACAAAACTATATTGCATATAAACTTTTGGCATAAAAATAAGAAAATATGTAAACAAACTGATTTTGAAAATTAATTTTGTTTGCAGTTAAAGAGCTCACTCATTATGCTTCAGAGAACTTTTGATCTACTAAATAAGAACAAGACTGGCATGACTGTCGAAAGCTAGTGATCTCAAGGTCTGAAAATGTAGAGACACTTGGAACTAAAAGAAAACATCTTAAAGAAAACCAGAGGATGAAGGATTTTAATTGTCACAGGGACATTTCCACATTTTCTCATTATTGGTACTTCTAATATGAACATTCTTTTTAATAACATTAATTTGATAACTAGTTTCTGATGGCCTTACAATCCATTCTTTCACTTCTTATACATAATTCTAAGCAGTGAATTTCTCTAGTGAAGCATGAAATATGTTGTGGATTTGAATTTCTGATACAAAAAGAAAATGAGACACTCTGAACTGATTTTTACAGTGAGGTTTGAAGTTTGATGCTTTATCTGTTAGCACAGAATCAGTAGGTGTCCCATAGGCTGCCTTCCCAGTTGAGATACATTCAAGAGGCTAAAGAAGACAATAGAAGAATAAACCTCTTTATCATTACTACTTTTGAAGGACCAATTTTCAGGCATATAACATTTCTAAGTTTGTGTACTGTAAATATTACAATTTCTTCACTTATTTAGCATGCAAATTCAATAGTCCAACCTTTTGAGTCTGCAAGTTGGTAATTATTATCTGAAACGTTCTTGAGCCATGTTGTATTTTTCTGAAGAAATGGTTGTTTCTTCTTCAGGTAGCTATCAGAGGTGAGATTATCTTGCCCCTTCATGTATCAAATGACAGAAGAGTCAGTTCTGGAAAAGGAAACATAGGATACCAACACTCAAAATGAAGAACCATGCTCTGATTTTAAGAACCAGAGGATTATGTTAAAATCTGGGCATTTAGTGACAGATCAGATGAATACTTGAACTAAGCTTGGCTTCAGCTTAGCACTCTTTTATGGTGGAAGTGAAACACCTGGTTGAAAATAATTTGTGGATTACTTTTCAGTAGCTACATATGTCTTCATTTATTCATTCATGTGGGTGCGGCTTGTTTCAGCTGGTAAGTTATAACCAGACACAAACTTTCGCTCTTCAATAAAAACTTTTGGGGGCACTATGTCCCAATACTAGGGCACTGACTGAAGTTTGAAATCAGACAGAAGCTTTGGCTCTTTCATGAAAAGTTTTTAGGCATATATGTCTCAATACAAGTGATGTCTTTGGAACAAGAGAGAGACAGTGCTTAATAATTGGTATATATTCTTACTGTTTGGACAATGCTTGCCTTTAGTTAAATGTTTCTTTCTTTCCCCAGAGCCACAGGAGATAGCTAAAGTCATTTTTGAGAATAAGTACAGGGAAAATGGATTTCTCTGGGTGATTCCCAACAAACCTACCTTGGGGGTACCAGTGTACTTACCTGGGGGTTTTTTGATTTATGAAGTGTGGCTGTGAGTGAGTCACTGGATTATAAACTTGAAGACTTTGTTCTCTGTTAAATTCACAAAAAAGATCAGTGGCAAACAATATTTTTGTGGTGTTTCTGTAAAACTTGTACTTCATAAATATACCTCAAAGAAAATTACCAAAGTTGCTTTATAGATTAAGACTAAACATGTATGTATGCAGAACTTAATTAATTGCATTTGAGCCCGTTACGTAAATTGAATATCAATAAAACCCAAAATGTCTTGAGTTGTAGTTTTTTTTTTCTGTTAAAAAAACCCAAAAAACACAAATAACTAGAAACCTGCTATAGTGAAAACGTGTATATGGGCCTACACTCTTTAAAAAATTTTGTGCAGGGACGCCTGGGTGGCTCAGTCTAAGTGTCTGCCTTTGGCTCAGGTCATGATCCCAGAGTGCTGGGATCGACTCCCGCATCGGGCTCCCTGCTCAGCGGGAAGCCTGCTTCTCCCTCTCCCACTCCGCCTGCTTGTATTCCCTCTCTCACTGTCTCTCTCTCTCTCTCTGTCAAATAAATAAATAAAATCTTTAAAAAAAAAAAAATTTGTGCAAAAATAAAACTCAAAGAGGACTCATTTCATTTCAAATATGCAGACTGTTGGAACAAAAGTACTAGTCGGTCTGCCGGTCGAATGTAGAATCTGCTCGCCAGAAATCATGAAAATGAACAAGCTTTATAAATGAACAGATCAGGGACAGCGATGGGCCTTTAAGGGAAGGCTGGAGAATTTGGGGGCGGTACCTCGGTAACAATTTGCGGTGGAGATCTCCACCTAAGCTTGTGGCCGGCGTCCGAATGAAGACTGGCCGACCCACGGGTCTCCGGTGCTTAGGAAATACTCCGGGTTCCCGGGTTTCCCGTCTTTCCATCGGCACCTCCCTCCGGCCCAGGGCTCTGGGGTTGCCCCGTCCACGTACCGCCCGCAGCCACCGGCGGGGCCGCACCGGGGCCGGGCGGGGCGGAGGTGCCGGCCCAG